ATAGTGTCAGGCTAGAATCACAATTCCCCCCAACGAGAGCCTAACAAGTACTATTCCGTGATAAAATTATCTCTGTTAAAAATGTATTTTTCGTTAATCTTTTAACATTGTTCAACCTATAACTTTATAATAATTCTAAGTTAAAAAATAAAATTTTCACTACCGATGCACTTTCATATAATCTATCAAATAATTCAATTTGCCACAACATGGTCACAGGAGCCGGTGCATATATCTTGTCGGTAAACTTCTTTTTGTGTTGGAGGTGGTATGGTGATATGAAATTATCAAACCAATCATCGAATACTTTTAGTCTTAGCAAAAACTCTATATTTTTAGAGTACGATCACTTTTATGTGATATATATATATACTCTATGTAACGTAATGTATCGTCTATCTCACAAGCACTTTTCTCATTAAAGTTGCCACACTCTCCCTCAGCTTTTATAGCTGGGTATGGGTGTTGGTCTGATTTTTATAACCCACACCAAACACCCAATAGATCTTACATAGTAGTATTTCATAATCGACTCTATAGCGTCAATATCGATCAAGAAGATATCATTTCATAAAACACGAATACTGGTGTATGTTGAAGTATATAGCGAGAAAAATTGGAAATCTCGCTCATGTTCCTTTACAGACATGCAGACACTTTCAGAGAAATATCTTTGACAAACTCAACAGAACATTTGATATTCGTTAGCCTCTATATTTCAATAAACACATGACACTCGCATATCACATTTTAATTCGATAAGGGTGACTTTCGAAACTTTTTTTGTTGTAGCTGTAGCCTAACAAATATATGACCCATGAAAATGATATTTTTAGCAAGTCAACTATGTTAATCGATTTATATTTTAGCAAAAATTGTATCGATACCCATGTTGAAATCATTTTTGCGAATGTGAGTAATACATAAATATGTTTCAAAATCTATGAAAACACTACTCTATAAAGATTTTTAAAATTTTCTCAAACACTTATCCTCAAAGTTATATCAATCTTCACAAAAGAGATTCTTCAAAATTGTGAGAAATAAGCAAAAACATGGATTCACTTCTATTTCTATTTTACTCGAACTACATAGATCATGTTGACATGCTGTTCCTTCAGTTCTTCAGATAAACAGAAAGAAAAAAAAACAAAAAAAAAGCTTATGGTTGATGCGCAACCTATTCACACAAAAAAGAATACAACCCAAAGAAGAACATGTTATCATTTACAGTCGTCATCGTTGTTTTATTTCTAACAATTTTTTATTACTATGTGAAATATGTCTATTTCACATTACGTGGTCCAATACCTGGTATTCCACCCCAATTTCTTTTCGGTAATCTATTACAGACAGGTATCATTTGGGGAGATGAGTCTTTGGCTAATGTATTGCTCAAGCTCAAAATAAAATTTGGTGATGTCTTTCAATATTGGTTCACTTACACACGTGTCATTATTGTCAGTTCACTTGAAGATATCCAACATATATTTGCTCATCGGAATGTGTATGATCAAGGAGATATATTTATTGAAAAGCTTAGTATTGTCAATCCAAGTGAAGTTGCCGCTTTAAAAGGTTAGACAAATTTCAACTGAAAAAAATTTAAAATAAAAATGATTTGATTTCTATAGGAGCTAAATACAAGCGTCATACAAGTGTTTCATATTCATTGTTTCGTGGAAGTAAAATATTTATGCATTTAGATACAATTATCGATTGTACAGATAAATTATTAGATCGATGGCGTCAAATCAATGATCCAACTAAAATTTATTTGAATATGAATGAACAAACACAACAACTTTTACTTGCTATTTTTGGTTTTATTGCATTTGACTATGATTTACAAATACTTGATAATGAATGTGAAAAAGGACAAAAAGAACTTGTCTCTTCAATGGAAACATTTTTCAATACAACAGTTAGAATTGTAGAAATGCCAGCAATCATCGGTCGTATCTATTTATTTTTAAATTTTAAATATCGACGAGCACGTTTAATTATTAATCAATATATACAGCGAATAATTGATCAAGAATTGAAAGAAACAGTTGCAATGAGAGCAGAACGTAAAAGAACAAGTTTAATTGCATCATTAATTTCTTCATTACAACAAGACGAAAATATTGAAGCAAAAAAACGGGAAGAAGACAAACGAGGTATCAACTATCACTAATTATTAAGTATAGAATTTTCGAAAAACTGAAAATATCTTTTATCGAGAGATATAACCTTTGAAAAAGTTCTATGAACTTACTCAAATCTTAGTTGAACTTGAGTAATATTCTTTTTTTATTGGATAATTTCCCAAAGTTATCATAACTATCGCAATCAGATCATAATCATTTGAAAGAGAGGACGTCATGGAAATCACACTTGAGAACTCAAAAAATTCAATGTTGAAAACTTCAACATTCGCGAACTATTCAAAAAACAAGATAATAGAACACATTCAATTTAAATATAGTATTTATATCATAGGTCTTTCACGACAAGAAATAACCGGTTTGATACTTTCATTGCTTACGGGTGGCTATACAACAATATCGACGGTACTTTCTTGGTTCATTCATCTGATGAGTAAATATCCTGAAGTACAAGCGAAAATCAAGAAAGAATTAGCTGAATACAATCATCGACGTCTTTCAATTGAACACATCGAATCACTCGTGTATTTAGATTGTGTTCTTCATGAAATTCTTCGCTTTGTACCAACATCGATCGGTTCTATTCGAACACTTATTGTCGATGATCGATTACCAAAGACTGGAGTTCAATTAAAAAAAGGTGATCAAATATTTATTTCATTCTATAATCTAGGACGAGATGCACGCTATTGGTCGAATCCTGATCAATTTTATCCAGAACGATTTCTGAATCAATCCGAAGAAATCGGTAATAATAATAAAGCAGCCTTAATTTCATTCGGTGGTGGTCATCGTCAATGTGCAGGTCAAGATTTGGCTCGATTTGAATTGAAAGTTATTTGTGCAAGACTTATGCAATATGTCACATTTGTCGATGGTGGACCTGAAGTCAATTCGGGAGGATATCAACAGAGAGATACTGTCCAACCGAAACATATTGGTGTTGCAATTAAATTCGACTAAAAGTGTTCATTGAACATGATCTTACGTAAAATTATCTTTTCAACAGAATTATGAATCTAATAAAGGGTAAAAGAAGAAAACTTTTTCTAGAGTTAC